AATAAATAGTTATACTTATTTCCAGTCCACAAGGTGTCAGTGTCATATCGGGTAAATTTTGTTGGAATGGTGCTGGCACTGCCCGTTACATCCAGATTCTCTTCAGCTCGGAAGGGTACAGACGGAACGTTCGGATCACTTKAAAAAAAAAAACGTGGATATAATAGCATTGGATCTAAATTGAACAGGAATCTTTACAAAACGCATGCATGTGTTACAACCTGGGAGCGGATTTAAATCTCTATTTTTAAGCAAGCCGAGACAATGGGAGCAGGAGGACAAAGCCGAGGAACGCGGTCCTGGTGGCTCACCCTCAGTGTCTCTGTGATGTTCAGCTGCGTGGAGCTGATTTCAGCTCAGATCAAATATTCAATCCCAGAGGAAGTCAAAGTTGGATCTATTGTTGGAAATATCGCCAAGGATCTTGGATTGGAAATCAGTTCTTTAGCGGAAAGGCAGTTCCGTATTGTTTCTGGGGCGGATGATGCTCGGTTTTCAGTAAATCCGAACAATGGCGTCTTGTATGTGCAGGAAACGATCGACAGAGAGAAAATCTGTGAAAGTGTTTCTCCCTGTTTGATTAACCTGAAATTAGTAGCTGAGAAACCCATGGAAATACATTACGTTGGAGTGGAAATTACTGACGTAAACGATCACTCACCGAGCTTTCAGGAGGAGGAAAAAACATTAGAAATATATGAATCAGCTCATCCAGGGAAGCGTTTCCAGCTGCCTACAGCCCGCGATCCAGATGTTGCTGTGAACACGGTGCGTGTTTATAAATTAAATCACAATGAACATTTTAGTTTACAGATTCGAGAAAGAGGAGAGGACAAAATACCTTTTCTGGTTTTGCAAAAATCTTTAGATCGAGAAAAAAATGATGAACATAGATTGATTCTGACSGCGTTAGATGGAGGAAATCCTCCGCGATCAGGGACTCTGAATATCACCGTTACGGTCTTGGATTCTAATGATAACCATCCTATTTTTAGTCAAGAAGTGTATTCAGTAACTATACCTGAAAATGTAAAATCAGACACAAGCGTAATCAAAGTGAATGCAACTGATCTGGATGAAAATGGAAATGGAGAAATTGAATATGTCTTTGGTGAGGAGCTTGACGCAAAAATATATGATATGTTTCAATTAGATAAAGACAGCGGTGAGATCAGAGTTAAAGGGAAAATTGATTTTGAGCAAACTGATGTGTTTAAATTAGATGTTCACGCAACTGATAAAGGACACCCTCCGATGAGCAGTGACTGCAGGGTAATAATTAAAGTGTTGGATGTAAACGACAACAGGCCAGAAATAGAAGTCACCTCACTCTCTAAACTGGTTTCAGAAGACTCCAAACCCGGGACTGTTGTTTCTTTAATCAGTGTCACAGACCGGGACTCAGGTCTAAARGGTAAAGTGATCTGTAGTCTCTCAGATAATATTCCGTTTGAATTAAAACCTTCATTCCAGGATAACATGTACTCWTTAGTATTAAAACAACATCTAGACCGAGAGTCAGTGTCTCAATATGARGTCACAATAACAGCTACAGACTGTGGTCAGCCTGCGCTGTCCACTTTCAGAACTCTGAATATTGATGTTTCTGACGTCAATGATAACGCGCCTAAATTCTTACAAAATCCAGTAGAACTTTATCTGAGAGAAAATAATCTTCCTGGGAACCCAATAGTCTCTGTTTCTGCCTCCGATAAAGACCTGGGCGAAAATGCGGCTATAAGTTATCATTTAGTGAGAGAGGAGAGCAGCAAAATGCAAACTGCTGCATTTCTGAACATAAACTCAGAAAACGGACAAATAWCKGCTCTGAAAAGTWTRGACTTTGAGAYTCTGAAAACTTTCCAGTTCCAAGTTGTGGCCACAGATTCTGGAGCTCCGTCTCTGAGCAGCAACGTGACAGTGAACGTGTTCATTCTGGATCAGAACGACAACGCTCCAGTCATCCTGTATCCAGTCAGCTCCAACGGTTCTGCTGAAGGCGTGGAGGAGATTCCCCGCAACGTGAACGCAGGACACTTGGTGACTAAAGTCAGAGCCTATGATGCTGATATAGGATATAACGGCTGGCTGCTGTTCTCACTGCAGGAAGTCAGTGACCACAGTCTGTTTGGTTTGGACCGCTACACAGGACAGATCAGAACACTTCGCTCGTTCACAGAGACAGACGAGGCTGAGCATAAACTGCTCATACTGGTCAAAGACAATGGCAACGTGTCCCTGTCAGCAACAGCTACTGTRATTGTCAAACTGGTGGAGCCCAAAGAGGCTTTTGCAGCTTCTGATGTGAAAAGTGCAGCAAAAGATGAGGAGGACAATAATGTGACTTTTTACCTCATCATCACTCTGGGCTCAGTGTCAGTTCTGTTCCTCATCAGCATCATCGTGCTGATTGCAATGCAGTGCTCCAAATCCACAGACTATACTTCTAAATATCTGCAGGAGGCTAATTATGATGGGACACTGTGTCACAGCATCCAGTACAGATCTGGAGACAAACGCTACATGTTAGTTGGACCCAGGATGAGTATAGGATCTACTYTAGGACCCGGAAGTCATGCAAACACTCTGGTGTTACCTGACAGGAGGAAAACTTCTGAGGTGAGATTTGTTTTTTCCTTTCCAATGTGATGTAACGCTGTCCACAGTGGCGCTGTCCATTGTGCTGATGTGCTTTGACATTCAATTGTTCTGCAGAAACAGTGGCATTGGTGTGAAAGGATTTTCCTGAAAGTATTTTGTGTTGTTATGAACAAACCATAAACATAAACAAGTAGATAACAGCCCTTCTTGATTTKGTAACCTGACGTATACCTTCAAATTATAATCTTGTGGCTGATCACGTTTTGTTCTATTTTAGCTGGCATTAGTTTACTTATTTACCATTCGTGCTTATTTTTATTTTTTGCTGTTGTTTTTTGGCGTTTGTGTTCAATTGTAATTTTTTTTGCATTTTCTTTAATTGACTTTTGGTTTTTGACCTTATTGGATGATTATACATTCCCCGGGARAAACTGACACAGGAACAATATTGTTGTTTCTCAGAAACGAACATGGCAGGAGGGTTAAATGCTGTCACCTATTTTGAAATGTATTTTATTCTCTATAATTTTTAACTTATAGATATAGGCGGTGTCTGTCGGGATTTATACTTGATTCCTTTTTTATGTTGTACTTGTAGCTTACAGACCTTTATAATTTTCAATTATTTTGCAGTGTTTGTATTTATTACGTGTTTAATATCTTGTGTTTTTGTTTGATCAAGTTTTATGTTGAATCATTGCACAGACTGCATATTTTGTTGTTTGTCATTTTAATAACTGTAAAAATTGTAATTTACACATACACACGTGTATTTTATTTATTTTTCTGTTGAGCAAACTCTTGGTGTCACTGCAGTACTGAGAAACGATGGTTTCTCCTCCTCTCAAATGTCTTTGTTTGGCTTGCTGAACCAGACGTTATTCACGGTGTGCGTTCTGCAGCTTTAACATCGTCCTGACAGAAAAAAAAAAGAAAAAAAAAACCCGCGGTATTTTCTCATGTTAATTTTTGAAGTGATTGCTTCCATTTTTTCCGCTGAACGATGGGACATTTTACGCAAAGCAGAGCAAGAAGATGTGGTTTATTTTGGCTTCGTTTYTTTCTTTTTCTTCTCGTCGGAAAGCGGGCCTTAGCTCAGATTCGGTACGCTGTTCCAGAGYAGGTGAAAGAGGGATCTGTTGTTGGAAATGTCGCTAAAGATCTTGGCCTGGACATGTCGCTGTTAACTGATCGAAGTTTTCGTGTTGTCTCCGGATCTAAGGACACATTCTTTGATGTAAACCAAGYCAGCGGGGATCTCATTGTCCGGAAAAAAATCGACAGGGAGGAGCTGTGTCACGGGAGCGGCGCGTGTTTGATGGAGCTCAAGATCCTGGTGGAAAATCCTTTGGAAATGCACTACGTGGCTGTGGAAATCACTGATGTAAATGATCACGCACCCATGTTTCCTAAAGAAGAACAAACATTCGAAATAMMTGAGCAAACATCACCAGGGAGACGATTCCAGCTGCACGCAGCTCGTGATCCAGATGCAGGATCTAACTCMATACGTACGTACACATTAACYTCAAATGAACACTTTGAGATAGATATGCGTCACAGCGATGAGGATAAAATACCATTTTTGGTGCTGAAGAAGTCTTTAGACAGAGAACAGAATYATAAKCATTCACTTGTGGTTACAGCWGTAGATGGAGGTAAACCTCCGAGATCTGGAACATTAAATATATCTGTTATTGTTCTCGACAGTAATGATAACCGTCCTAAATTTAGTAAGGAAACATATCAAATTGAAATAGAAGAAAACCCTCCACTTGGCAGCTTAATATATAAAATATTTGCAACTGATCTAGATGATGGTACGAATTGTGAAATTGAATACAGTTTCGGAAAAACACTCAAGGAAAGAGTCTATGAAATTTTTGATTTGGATGCAATAACTGGTGAAATAAGAATWAAAGGTGCTGTTGATTATGAAGAAAATAATGTTTATAAACTGGACATTGAAGCWTCAGATAAAGGGACACCTCCACTAACAGGTGAGTGTAGACTCARTATAAATATAAAAGATGTGAATGATAATCCACCTGAAATTGAAATCACATCACTGTCTAAATCAGTGCCTGAGGACTCAAAGCCTGGCACAGTRATTTCACTGCTAAGTGTCACAGATAAAGATTCTGGAGTCAATGGAAAAATAATTACAAGCATTGCAACAGATGGACCATTTGAACTGAAGCCATCATTTAAAGAAAATATTTATTCAGTTGTTACTAAAGGTATTTTAGATCGAGAGGAGGTGTCACAATTTGATGTCACAATTAAAGCCACAGACTGTGGTGAACCACCTTTATCAACTTTTAATACATTTAGCATTCATATATCTGACGTAAATGACAATAAACCACATTTCTCCACAAATCCGTTAAACATTTACCTTCAAGAGAATAATATTGCTGGGAGTATTATATTTTCTGTCAGTGCAGCAGACAAGGATGCAAACGAAAATGCAGCTATTTCATATCACATTTTCAGAGAAGGGAAAGGAAACAACCTGTTATCCTTCCTGAACATAAATTCAGAAAATGGACAAATAACCGCTCTGAAAAGTTTCGACTTTGAGAGTCTGAAAACTTTCCAGTTCCAAGTTGTGGCCACAGATTCTGGAGCTCCGTCTCTGAGC